GTTGAACCCCAAGTAACCGCTTGCAGGACCTACATGGACCCATTTAAGGGGTGGTTAGAGGCTCCTCGTATATGTGACATTGGGGCTGGGCGCCGTGAGGTGAGTCTTAAACTCTCGAATAAGGACCCCCCCATCCCCCTCTACTATCTTGAACCCGAAGCCCCTGGGTCCCATTGGGTAGTTTCCCTAAATTAAGGGACCCCGATGTAGACCCAAAAATCGTTGAATCCTTATTATAGGGACCCCTGCAAGGGCACACCCAAGTTTTGGAAAACCTTAAACCTCATATCCCCAATGTAAGGAACCCATGTCCATGAATTATATGTCAAGCCCTGAACCCTAAACCCTACACATGAGTCCCTACTTCCACTGAGGGGCCGTAAGACACGGTCCAGCGCTTCGCGCCTACAACTATGCAAAACTCCTAAGCTCTGCTAAGCTTTGTACTCAAATCCACCCAAAATGTTATATGGACCCTATGACACCACCGTGTCCATTTCGTTTTCCATTTTCTTCCATATCAAAATGACTCCAAGATTTGCCGTTACCAAAATGATCCGCCCCACAAAAATCCACTATGGCCGGCCTTGTGCTGAAGAAATTCGAGCGCCCTATTGCCACACCCTAAACCCTAAACCCTAAACACGACTGAGGCCTTTCCCCGCGTGTGGCCCTGCTGACGGTGGACTCTTTGGCCTACCGGTATCGAAGAGCCAGGCGCGAAGAGTGCACAGCGTGGTTTAGCCTGACTCCGCAGGACAGTAAACCATGCGGCCGGCTGTGTACCCAACGGCTCCATGTACCCAATAATTAGGTACTTGGGATTTGGGTAAGAGTAATGAAAGAACAAGTTTGGGGTAAGTATCTGATTATTAGGTACTTGGACTCTAAACCCTATATACCCCTATATATCGCCTTTAAAGGGACCTAAGTATATGATTAGTAGGTACTTGGAGCCTTAGGGGTATGTCTCGGAGTGTCCTTCGGTGGCTCTGGCTAATTCGGGCGGCCTTGGGTCGTGGTAGCTCGAAATGTAAGGGTCCAAGGACCCAAGTAGTAGGGTTTCAATTACCATTCATATTATAGTATTTGGGCCCTAAAACCCTATTATTTGGGTCCTTGGACCCTTAGGGGAAGATATTCCACGGAGCACTGCAAACTATGAGTCCAGTTCTGGGTTCCTCTCACTGTACATCCTTGAAATGAGAGCCCTGAGCCCGGATCCTGTGAGCCTGTAACGTCAAGAGGGACAGTGCTAACGCCTGCAAGCCTTTTTTCTATCCCAATTCCCAAGGATCCAAGGACCCAAATAATAGGGCTTTAGGGCCCAAATACGATTAATCATGTAGTATTTTGGCCCTAAAACCCTATGATTTGGGCCGTTGGACCCTTTTGGGTACTTGGACCCTTAGGGTATAGACAGAGTACGAAAACTGTTGGTTCCGAACCGATGGTTCCCACTGATGAATAAAACCCCTCCCTTTAATAGGGATTATAATAGGGATCCTAATATTAAGGCCCTTAAAAGGCGGGCGTGTATTAGTCATAGGTCTACATTATGAGTTGTCTCATCATTGGTTTTTTGACCCTAAGGCTCCAAGCCCAATGGCCACCCTAGTCCCTAAACCCCTAAACCCCAAAACCCTATAGGCCTAGAGCCTGAAGCCAACCTAGTCACCCCAAGTGCCTCTCTAGAACCCAAGTAACTGCAAATAGGACCTACATAGACCCCGGATGAAATGTAGTTAGGAGTTCCTGGTAAAACTCCCCGTAAACTCAAGCCCTGAACCCTAAACCCTCCAAGCCTCAGCTTCATAAACCCTAAACCATAAACCCTAAACCCTATTGTTTCAAAGCCCCATGCAAAGCCGTCTTCGTGCCAGGTTTCACAGACATGCGCGATCCGATCCCACGACGAGGATGGCCCAGTGCCTGCCTTTCACCCCAAGTACCTACAGTTTCAATTCTGAGTTATTACCTACGAATAAGGGCTTAATTACTGTTAAGCTGTAGGTAATTGGGGTTACAGGTAGACCCTCTTCTGCAATTCCTCTGTTGGAGCACTTGGCTTGATCGCTGGTAGTTTGCATTCAAAAGGTTTGGTGTACATCCCAAAGTCCTAAAAACAACCGTAAACCCTACCCTATTACATTATAGTAGTTTCCATTTGCTCTTCCATTACCTCTATAAAACCCGAATATACAACCCCAATATTACCCAATATAGACCCCATATAACAAGAGGAACAGCTTTGGAGGGTCCAGGCAGCTGCGTTCTGCAAAGTTGGAGAAAAAGCAGACCGCTCATGGTTATCCCTATAATATGGGTTCCACAAAAGAGTGTCTCTTTGCATTTGCTGTCTGGGGTTGTATGGGGGATATGCGGATTGAGCCCGCGAACGAAAACGCTGGTCAAATGCGGAAATTAAATTGACCGCCGAAATATCATGAAAGGCCCTCAGGTGTCCGCTTCGAATGGCTTACGGTTCAGGGTGCGGCAATTAAGCAGAATTACGGTCCATCTGATCCGAGATCATCCGTGATGATCCAAGGGTTTCGGCTTTTCATTGTGGAATTTCCCAGGGCGTGGGTACAGTGTTTGGGTGCTCATAGTCCCTAAAGCGGTTCCCTCGTGCATGAAAGCTCCCAACACCGGGCACTGGTTGCTTAACCTTTACACGCACTCCGTCTCGCAGTATGTCTGAGCGTAGATGCGCGACTCGGACCATGTCCAAGTTGCAAGCTTATAGTATCTTTAAGGGATGACCTCTTTATTTTGCTATCTCAGATTTCGTGTAAGAAAGCCTGTCAGGGAAAAAGTTCCAAACGTGAGGGCATTCTGGAAAATGTTTCAGTGACCCACATGATATACCCTAGGGATCCAGGTATACAAGCAAGTCCTACATTGGACACCAAGGGCTGTAGATATTGCCTCTATTGGGCTGTTTGGATCCCTTCAACCCCAAAAATACTGTTTTTTCTCAGCTTCATCACGGAAACCGTAGCTTGCAAACCCTAAATCCTAAACCCTGATCCCCTACATAACCCGCTTCAACGAGTTTAGACTACCTGAGCCCCAAAAGCAAGTAAAATAATAGCCCAAATCACATAAATGTAGCCGAAAAGGCCATTATTCTGAATACATTCGGGGCTCAGGTAGAGATCAACAGAAATTCATCAGCAAACACCTACGCCCTAGTAGCAAACACAAAAATGACCTCGATCGGGCGTGGGCCGCCTGGGCCATGCTTCTGCTGCTGCTGCTGCTGCCCTTTTGAGATAATGGAAAACAAAATGGAAACTACTCTTTAGGGTTAAGGGTTTAGGGTTCAGGCTTTAAGGCTGTTGCCCTGAATTGGGGTCATAGGGTTTGGGGTTTGAGAGCCCGTGGTTGGGGTTGTAGGGTTTAGGGTTTGATAGCCCTTAATCGGGGTTGTAGGGTTTAGGGTTTCGTAGCCCTTTCTTGTGGCTATAGGGTTTAGGGCTTACTAGCCCTTAATTTGGGTTATAGGGTCAAGGGTTTGGAGTTTGATAGCCCTTGGTTGGGGTTATAGGGTTTAGGGTTTAGGCTTTAATAGCCCTTGATTGGGGCTACGGGGTTTGGAGTTTAGGGTTTAATAGCCCTGAATTCGGGTTATAGGGTTTAAGGTTTAAAAGCCCTTGCTTGGGGTTATAGGGTTCAGGGGTCTAGAAGCCCTTAATTGGGGTTATAGGCTTTAGGGTTTAAACGTCCTTGGGTTTTAGGGTTTAGGGTTGAAGAGCCCTTAACTGAGGTTATAGGGTTTAAGGCTTAATAGCCCTTATTTGGGGTTATAGGATTTAGGTTTTAGGGTTTAGTAAGCAGTAATTTGGGGTTATAGAGTTGAGGATTTAATAGCTCTTGATTGGGGTTTCAGGGTTCGGGGCTTAGGTTTTAAGAGCCTTTAATTGGGATTGTGGAGTATAGGGTGTAGAAGCCCTTCATTGGGGGTTTTAGGGCCTAATAACCCTTAATTGGGGTTATAGGGTTTAGGGTTTAATAGCCCTTGGGTTAGAGGGTTTATGGTTAGATAGCCCTTAATTGGGGTTATAGGGTTTAGGGTTTAATCGCCCTTGGGGTTAGAGGGTTTATGGTTAGATAGCCCTTAATTGGGATTATAGGGTTTAGGGTTTAGGGTTTAGGTCTTAATAGCCCTCAGTCGGGGTTATAGGGTTTAGGGTTCTGGGCTTAATAGTCGTTAGTTGGGGTTACTGGCGCAATGTATAGGGTCTAGGGCATAGCCCTCAATTGGGGTTATAGAGTTTAGGGCTAAGGGTTTAGAAGCCCCGAATTGGGGTTATAGGCTCTAGCGTTAAGGGTTTGATAGCTCTGAATTGGGGTTATAGGGTTTAGGGTCTGGGGCTTAATAACCTTTAATTGGGGTTATAGGGTTTAGGGTTTAATGGCCCTGAATAAGTTAGCATAGGCCTTGCCCTTTGGGTAGATGGTCTCAAAACCCGTACCCCCCCCTACGCTTTTACACCTTTTTTAAATAAGCCTAATCAAATAGGGGCTTTCCAAAGACCATCTTTCCAATGGGCAAGCCCAGGTTGATAGAATTTATGGTAATTTTGGTGGTTCAGGGCTTGGGTTGTAGAATGACTCTTTTCGTCAATCGCAGTCTCCCAAAAACCCCAATAAGTTTGCAATAGTGGCGAGCCAATGACTTGGACTCTA